GCTGAAGTCGGACGCTTAACAGATTGAGCCACCCAGGCCCCCCTGCTGTGTCTTTTTCTGATCTGTCATCTGTTCCCTGTTTCCCACTGAAGAATTTATTTTTTTTAAATGTTTTATTTATTTCTAGGAGAGAGAGAGAGACAGCGTGAGCAGGGGAGGGTCAGAGAGAGAGGGAGTCACAGACTGAAACAGGCTCCAGGCTCTGACCTGGCAGTCAGCACAGAGACCGACGTGGGGCTTGAACACACGAACCGCGAGATCATGACCCAAGCGAAAGTTGGACGCTTAACCGACTAAGCCACCCAGGTGCCCCAGAATTTATCTTTACATCTTTTAAACACTGGTGTCTGAATATACCCTTCTCATAGAACACTCGTAGTATTTTATCACCACCTTTTCCTGGATCGTAGCATAGGTGATTTTTTAAAGTTTATTTATTTGAGAGAAAGAGAGAGCACGAGCAAGGGAGGGGCACAGAGAGAGGGAGAGAGAGAATCCCAAGCAGGCGCCATGCCATCAGCACAGAGCCCAACATAGGACCTGATCCCATGAACTGAGAGATCATGACCTGAGCAGGGATCAAGAGTTGGACGCCTAACCGACTGAGCCACCCAACAAAGGTGATTATTTTAACACAACACTTATAAAAAACACTAACGCATTTGTGAGAGTATCATACTTCTCATTTTCTCCATATCTATTTCTGTCTCTATTTCTACTGAGGTTATGTTCCCATTTTTTTAAATTTTAAAACTAGTTTTTGTTGTTGTTGTTATTGTTGTTTTCCTATCCTAAAAAGCCAATTTGAGATTGTTTTTCCGGTTACTTGCAGCTGAAGGAGCCAACTGATAAATGTATCCACTGTCATCAAGAGTTTAGACTGAAGGGAGAAAGGTTTCCTCTTCCGCCTGTGTTATATGATCTCTTAAGTTTTAGTATCATTTCCCACCTAAAGACCAGTCTTTCTCCTAAATGATGAACATTGAACATCCATCCTTTCAGAAGAAGGTCATTTCATATCCACAGGAGTGTGATCTTAGCCTCAAGTTACCTTTATCCAAATACAACAGTTCTACTGACTTACATGAAGTCTTTTTGTTACACAATCCCGTAAGTTCATGGAGGAAGAGACAGTATTTTAGGAAGTATATGTTTACATATTACGGTTTAGTCTTTCAGTTCCTGAAATACACATCTAGTGCGCACTTGCAGAAAAGATGGGAAGTGAATGCCACTACATTAGAGTAAGTTCATGAAACAGCCTTGGGATAATAAGAACAAACCAGAATCCACGGGACCTAGTATAAGGGACAGCTTGGGTTGTTCTTTTTCCTTAGTAGGCTTGAACCAACTGGACCAGATTCTACCTCCACTTTTAGGTGAAACAGTCTTTTAGAACCTGTCTTGGGCCAAACCTGAAAAGGGCCTGAAGTCACAATGACCCCAGAATCTAGGAGGGCCTCTCCGAGGTTCTTAGGTAATAGGAATTTAAGAAAACATATTCTTAGGTAGCTACGTGATGGAATACCATTTGAATCAGAGCAGGGGTGAAGTTTTGTTTCAGCCGATTTACAACTTTACAAAAGACTCAAATCAGTACATTTGAAAGGCTGACATTGAAATGTTAACATCAGTAACTTCATCCCAATATATTTCAAATGCCCATATTTCTGAAAGCATAAATATATATAAATATGTGACTCTCTTTGTAAAGTAGAGGTTTACTGAAAGAGAGAAGGTAGCTGCACTAATGTAAGTCCCCACTCATTTCTGGGAAAGCAAATGAAAGTATATACATCCTAAGGACAGGTCAATAGTAACACCTTCCTTCAAACATGGAGGTAAGAATTTTCTTACAGATATTCTGTAAAAAAAAGCTCTTAAAAATTCTCAGGAAATCTTAAAATACTTAATACTTTAAAAGGTAGTGAGCCTTAAGACTATGAAAAAAACTCCTACCTGTCCCCCAATATCCATTCTTCCTCAGTCCTGAAACCCCATTTTCCAGCCTTCCTTGGCATTTCACACAGCTAAGTGACCACCTTTTGTCAACAGGATGAAAGCAGAAATGGTATATGCAGACTTTGGGAAAGATTTTTAAAGAGAGGGGGTGTTCCCTTCTTTGTCTTCTCTTCTGCTGGTTGGAATGTAAGCATAATGGCTGGAGCCACAGCTGCTCCTTAGATCATGAAGTGATACTGGGAATGGAACCAGATCTCTTCCAAATACCCATATATTCAAAAAGCATAAAGAAATACATATGTCACTCTCCTAGTGGAACAGTGAGGCTAGATCTGTCTCTGTGAAGTGTCAGACCAGCTCTAGACTAACTTTGGACTTTTTTTTTTTTTTAATGTTGTAAAATGAAGATTTATTCAAATCTGTTCTTTTTTTTTTTTACAAATAGTTTATTGTCAAATTAGTTTCCACATAAGACCCAGTGCTCATCCCCACAAGTGCCCCCCTCCATGCCCATCCCCCCTCCCCCCCACATCCATCAGTCCTCAGGTTTTGTTAGCATTCAAGAGTCTCTCATGGTTTGCCTCTCTCCCTTTCCCCCACCATTTCCCCCCTTCTTCTCCCCCTTGTCCCTCAGTTAAGTTCCCCCTAATCCTCCTATACGTGCAAACATATGATATTTGTCCTTCTCTGCCTGACTTATTTCGCTCAGCATAACCCCCTCAAGGTCCATCCATGTTGCTACACATGGCCAGATTTCATGGTTTCTCTACAATGCCATGTAGTATTCCATGGTGTAGATAAACCACATCTTCTTGATCCATTCGTCCGTTGATGGACACTTAGGCTCTTTCCATGTTTTAGCTATTGTGGAGAGTGCTGCTATGAACATTGGGGTACATGTGCTCCTATGCATCAGCATTTCTGTATCCCTTGGGTAAATTCCTAGCAGTGCTATTGCTGGGTCATAGGGGAGTTCTATTGTTAGTTTCCTGAGGAACCTCCACACTGTTTTCCAGAGGGGCTGCACCAGTTTACATTCCCACCAGCAGTGTAGGAGGGTGCCCGTTTCTCCACATCCTCGCCAGCATCTAGAGTTCTCTGATTTGCTCATTTTAGCCACTCTGACTGGCGTGAGGTGGTATCTCAGTGTGGTTTTGATTTGTATTTCTCTGATGAGGAGAGATGCTGAGCATCGTTAACTTTGTACTTCTTAAACATAAGAGAGAAATACCAATTTTTGTTTAAGCCACTGTTATTTGTGGTTGTTTTCCCATGCTACTTGCAGCCAAATCTAATCCTAATACAAGAATCAAAGAAGAAGCAAGATCTAAAACGTTATTTTTACAAGTCAACTTTCATAGGTTAATAAGTTTTATGTTAAGTTATATAATTTAGTTTTAAGGTTGCATATATTTCAAAAGTAAATTATTCAACAAATATTTATTTTAAAATTTTCATTATGTTTTAAAACTTTTTTTCAATGTCTTTTCAGTTTTGAGAGACAGAGAGACAGAACACAAGCAAGGGAGGGGCAGAGAGAGAGGGAGACACAGAATCTGAAGCAGGCTCCAGGCTCTGAGCTGTCAGCACAGAGCCCCGTGGGGGGCTCCAACTCATGAATCGTGAAATCATGACCTGAGCCGAAGTTGGACACTTAGCTGAGCCACCCAGGCACCTCTTTAAAAAATGTCTTTAATGCTTATTTATTTTTGAGAGAGAGAGAGCATAAGCAGGGGAGGGGCAGAGAGAGAGGGAGACAAAGGCTCCTGGCTCTGAGCTGTCATCACAGAGCCCTGTCTGGGGGCTCCAAGCCACAAACGGTGAGATCATGACCTGAGCTGAAGTCTGATACCTAACTGACTGAACCACCTCGGTGTCCCTCAACAAATATTTATTGAGTATTAGTCCCCAGTACATGTATCAGAATGATGGATAATGTAACTATAAATGCATTACTTGCCAAGTGACAAATATAAAAGATAGAAAAGTAGTAGTCCATGAAAATGGGAACTGAGTGATAGTGGGAAAATAACACAGAGCAGGGATTGTTCCTCTTACATGTACAAGATCTATAGGAGAGACAAGAATAGAGGAGGATGGCAGTCTGTGATAAGTTGGGACACAAAACCTTTTATTTCATCATACCACAAGTAAAAACGTTTGAAGATTCCCATTGATAATTCCTGGAAATCCAGTCTTTCCCTCACACAACTAAGTGGCGTTTTGTATTCTGTAGGAAATTTAGATCGGGCTTTCAAAAGCTATTGAAGTCATGCTAAAAATTCAAGAAGCTTGAATTTTTAAAATGTCTTTATTTTTATTTATTAAGGAAGCTCTACACCCAAGGTGGGATTTGAACTCACAACCTGAAGATCAAAAGTTGCATGTTCTACCGACTCAGCCAGCCAGGTACCACAAGATGTAGCGTCTTTAAAGGAGACAGTTGGAAGAGATCTGCCTATAAGGAAGCCAAAAGTCTGGGTGGTTCCCTGGAAAAGCATCAGGACAGAATTAGAAGACTGGCTGCATTGTGCCGGTTACCTTGTTAACAGTATTCCTTGGTGGCCTTGGACGAATAACTTGGCTTTTCTAGGCCTCCGTTTCTGAGCGCTAGGGATTAGAAACGGGTACCCCTACTGACCTTCAGTTCCCGGGAACCCTTTTCTGGAGCAAGTGCCCTAATCTGGGCAGCTCCCACGACCAACGCGGCCGGGCCTACAGGCAAAGAGAGTCCCTGCCCTCTGGGTCTTGGGCTCTCCTCGCGCATGACCTCACGGATGCTGCGCTTGAAGTCCGCTAGCAGAAACGCAGAGACGGGAACCGGGCCCCAGCCGCCGCCCGGGCCACAGCAGGACCGGACACGCTTAAGCGGCCGGCCGGGAACCCTAAGGCTTGGAGTCAGCCGACAGCTCCCGGGGAGCCGCAGAGACCTGGTCCCGTCGCCCCGCCCCGTGGCGCCGCTGCCCCGCCCCTCGAGCCCCGCCCCGCCCCCGACCGGCCACTTGCTGCGTGCCGATTGGTCGCTGCGGTGCGCACGGCTCCGCGCCCCGCCGGCGCCCCCAGCCCAGCGCCCGCCGTCCGCTCCCGGCTCCCCGGGACCGAGGTGGAGCCGCGGAAGCCGGCCGGGTGCGGGCACGGCCGCTTCCTCCTGTGCGTGAGCGCTTGGGGTCGGCGTAGGTGTCAGGGAAGCCAGGTGAGTGCGGCCGGCCGGTCTCGCGGCGCGCGGGGGGCTCGTGCCCCCCGTCCGCGCGTGGGGAGGGGACCCCGGCCGACCCGGCCTGCGCGGTGCGGCGGCGCCCAGCCCGGCCTCTCCTGCGCCCGGCGCCGCCGGGTGGAACGGGCCCGAGGAGCGCCCGGGCAGCCTGCGTACCGGGGGCCTCCGCCGCCCGCTCCGGCCCAGCCCTCGTCCCCTCGGGCCGACCGCGACGGTGACGTGCGGGGAGAGGGCCGCACCGCCGCGTTACCTGCATGGCCGTCGATTGCGTGTCCGGGAGGTCTGGAACATTCCCATTTCGAGCCTCTCGGCTTCCCGGGGCGACGGGCCGGCGAGGCGAACGAGGCGGTGGACGGCTCGCACCGGGCGTCTGGGGGCGACTCGGGTACTTTGTCGCTCCTCTCGCGTGCTCGGAACCATTGCTGAGAATATATGGTCAGTGTCGTGTGGACTTTCCCGACTCTGGCCTTAGGAGAGTCAGGTTCAGGGGTGGAAGAGGAGATGTTAGAGGCTCGGCATTCTTCTGAGAATTAATCATAAAGTGTTGAACGACCTTTTAGGTAAGTAGCAGCAGAGAATCGCCACCGTAGCAGTGGTAGTTGTGCTGGAGAAGACCATTTTGGTTTTTAACGAATTAATTGGGTTCCGACTTCATCGCTGGAAGGTGCTTGGTCTGAAATGTAAATATATGACCTTTTTAAAGCCAAGTCTGTATTGAGATCGACTGTGCTCGCTCCCTTGCTGCTGTCAGAGCCTTGTGAGCGTGTGCGTGTGGGCGGGAGTGCAACCTCCGTTTGGAGTAAATGTGTAGTCACCATTATGCCTCTCAAAGACCTTAATTTCTTTTCTCGGAGTGTCCCACCTCTTCCCTCAAACTCTTCACCTGTCTGCACCGTACAATCCCCTCTCTTAACAGTTCCCAAGCCTCTTGCTCTCGAATTTGTCACACTTTTCCTTTCCATCATCGTCTTTAGTCTCTTATTTGTCTTCTCCTGTTTCACATCGGCTTAGGTTTCAAACGTGAAACAAACGTTAAACCTTCTTACCGATAATAGTGTTGCCAGACTTCGTTCTGAAAATAAAAATCGAAAGTATCTTGAATATTGATGCTTCAGGAAAAGCAGGTTTAATGAGAGCCGCAGGAGGATGGAGTTTTCCTCTTCCGGAGACACAGCCTCCCTCCCCACCCCCATCCCCACCCCATTCTCTGCCCTTTAGGATTACAGCAGCCTTAACTGGCTGTTCTTTTCTGAGTTCACTTCTGGAGTCCAAGGTAAAGAATCTATCTGATTAGTTTATCCTTATTTGCTACTTTTAAAGTGATGATGGTAATATAGGTGGTAGAAAAAAATGTTTTGACATGACAGAAGAATATCAAGAGGGAAGTTCAAATAAGAGGAAAGTGTATCAAAGTGAAAAGTTGGAATATCTTGTTCACTTGTCATCATTTATACCTTCAATTCCATTACCTAGGAGGGGATCATTTCCTAATTATTGGGCAACTGACTTATAATTATCAGGACTCATTTCCAAATCTGTATTTGTGGACCTGCCTCATTTTTATTTATTATTATTGTTTTTTTCTTTAAATCTTGGCTCTTTTTAAAAAAATTTATTTTGTGTGTGTGTGAGAGAGAGAGTGCGCATGAGCACAAATGAGGAAGGGGCAGAGAGAGGGAATCCTGCACTGTCACCGTAGAGCCCAATGCAGGGCTCGAACTCACTAACCATGAGATCGTGACCTGAGCTGATGTTTGGAGTCCTATGCTTAACTTACTGAGCCATCTAGGTCCACCCCCCCCCCCCCCCCCCCGCCCACCTCATTTTTAAAATGTTGCATAGTATGCCATTGTTTAGAGGTACTCTAATATAGTTTATTGGTCCCGTACTGATGGACATTTTGGCTGTTTCTAGATTTTAGTCATTAAAAGCTTTGGTGCATGAAAGTCCTTTTGTCATTGTAGGATAAGTTTCAGGTAGAGAATTAAAACAGATTATTGTACCTTAGTATAATTTTAGTGCCCCTTTTACCAGGAATACTTTTTATAACTTAAAAGATTTTATCATTTAAAGGCAGTAGCTAAATTTGTTTGATTTAAATGTGTTCCTTAGCATCTGTGTGTCCTTTTATATTTAGAGACTGAATCAAGAACATTTGGAGGACCAGGTTAAATAATGGTGAATTTTTTAACCTTGATTCCGCTTAGTGGTGTTGACTTAAAGGTTATATTCACTCATTTGATTAACTTGGCAGGAATGAATAGAGAAGGTCTTCAGAAAGAGAAAATGTCAACAGACATATTTTATTTTTTTTAAATTTTTTCTTAAATAGTTTATTGTCAAGTTGGTTTCCATATAACACCCAGTGCTCATCCCCACAGGTGCCCTCCTCCATGCCCATCACCCTCCTTCCCTTCTCCCTCCCCCCATCAGTCCTCAGTTTGTTCTCAGCATTCAAGAGTCTCTCAAGGTTTGCCTCTCTCCCTTTCCCCCACCATTTTCCCCCTTCTTCTCCCCCATGGTCCTCTGTCAGGTTCCTCCTAAGCCTCCTATACGTGCAAACATATGGTGTCTGTCCTCTGCCTGACATATCTCGCTCAGCATAACACCCTCAGGTTCCATCCACGTTGCTACACATGGCCAGATTTCATTGTTTCTCATTGCCATGTAGTATTCCATCGTATAGATAAACCGCATCTTCTTGATCCATTCATCAGTTGATGGACACTTAGGCTCTTTCCATGTTTTAGCTATTGTGGAGAGTGCTGCTATGAACATTGGGGTCCATGTGCCCCTGTGCATCAGCACTCCTGTGTCCCTTGGGTAAATTCCTAGCAGTGCTATTGCTGGGTCCTAGGGGAGTTCTATTGTTAATTTTTGGAGGAACCTCCACACTGTTTTCCAGAGGGGCTGTACCAGTTTACATTCCCACCAACAGTGTAGGAGGGGGCCTGTTTCTCCACATCCTCACCAGCATCTATAGTTTCCTGATTTGCTCATTTTAGCCACTCTGACCTGCATGAGGTGGTATCTCAGTGTGGTTTTGATCTGCATTTCCCTGATGAGGAGGGACGCTGAGCATCGTTTCATGTGTCTTGAACAGACATAT